CTACCGTAACACTAGTGGGTAAAGTTAGAATATCATCTGCTACGTTATATGGTTTTAATGAGTCCACTAAGGAGGCCCCATGTTTTCGTCTTGATTTAGTTTGTGGAATTCCTATAATAGTAGGTGTAATTTCAACATCTATATTTTGTTTTATTCCCTTTTTTTGATTTTTAGCCATTTTCTTAACCTATTTTCCCATTTTGGGTTTGCCGACCACTTTGTTGCTTGTTGAGGAGTAGTTTCATTATTTACTGTATATATTTCGTTCTTATCATCCTCTATTTCACAAAAACTAATAGTTTTTGTTTGATTAACAACTCTATTTTCTTTTTTCTCTGTTTCTTTAGATTTTTCCAACAAGCAATTTCTAGCATAATACCCAAATTCACCACAATTATAGCATTGAGGTCCTTTTCTTTGTACTGGAACTCTTTCATTTAATGACCGATGATTATTATTATTATTATTATGGAGACATCTTTTATAAAAACTATCACGTAGGCGTTCAATTCTTGTATCCTTCATTTGACTGGATAAGGTTGCATAATTTAATGCTAAACCTTCAATACTTTTCTTTAAGTCACTTAACTCATTCCCTATTTGTTGCTGAACGATTTCTCGTTCAATAAATTGTTGATTATTATAACTTCTATTTTCAACTCTTTTTGTTACGGTGATTGCTTCAGCTAAATTTTTGGGAGCAGCTATGGCAACGAAAGTAGCATTATTGCCTTTTAATCTATTTAAAAACATCCTTACCACATAGCTGTTCGAAAATTGATTACTAATGTTTACTCTACTAAGCAACTTTTTTGAACTTAGTAGTATAGATATCTAATTTTTCGAATTTTCTTTGTCGTAATCTGAATAACTCAATTTGCCAATGATGCTGATGTTCCTCGGTAGTGAATTCTTTGGCGAACAAGTTGTAGAAACTTTTATTTTTGTTATTTTTATCCTTTGTCTTCCAGTATTCAATGTCATCTTCATTTTCTTTATATCATTCAGCTGCCGTTTCTTTTAGATAACTTGATGCAATATCCATCCTACAATCTTCGGTCCAATTGTTGGCCTTAGACGCTCTTTCGAATTCATCGAACCATTCGAACAAGTCCTTGTCATTGGTGTCATAAAAAGACTTGATTTTTACAAGATTATTCTCTTTGGGCATTTTTGTTTCTTCCTTACTAACCACCTTGGTCATTACTTTCATAAATTGCTTAAATTGATCATTATTTATTTTTATCCGACGATTTTTATGTTCTTTTTATGAAGTACGTAAATCTCACAGTCATCACCAAATGTTACGGGGTGAATCATAGGTTTAATTAATTGAAACACAAAAATATAGAGTTTATATAATTTAAGGCAACTCGTCAGAGGTGTGACGTTGTTGATTTGACAATAGTTTATTTTATTAAATGTCTGTTACCAGGTGATTTATTATATATATCAGAAAGAGGCTATTAGAATCCTGTAGGATGATTGTTTTTAGAAGGGCGAAATGCTTGAGCTTTTATAGCTTTAGTGAAAGTAAAGATTCAAGAGGCTTAGGTGTGACTCATATATTATATCTTTAACGAATTTAAGAGAACTGATTCTAAGCTAAGGGGCTTACAATGATAATTTACATTATTATAATAAAGAAAGGCTTTGCTTTGCTAACTACAATCATTTGCTTATACAGCTACTTCAACTATATCTAAATCCTGTTATTCGGTGTTCTTTATTTCTTCTTACACGTCACTTGTTTTTCAGTTTTCGCGTTGGTTATTGTTTTGTCTTTATTCAGCCAATAAGCCTCAACTGATAAACCAATATTTCTTGAATTTACTTTGCTTCAATCATGGGGTTGCTGTGCCTAATTTGTAGATCTTTCATTTTAACCTGTGACATTAGGTTATAGATATGGCAGCTAGTGTAGAACCTATGATGTATATCTATATGCGGACTACTTAAATAGGTGCTCAAAAGGCACACGTGTGGCTAGTTGTACTCTCTAATGTAATTGGGGTTTCATTGTGAGCTCCCCGCCTATTCTACTTGAATAAAAACCCTATGCCAAAGAGGCTAGTTAATAAAAAAATATATATATATATATTATTTAATACAAGCATTAAATAAAGAGGTACTAAATGCAATACAGTACAGTAATTTAAAAAAATTAATTTTAGAATAATATCTATTCTTATATAGACTAATCTAGGATTAAATGTTTGGCTAATCTATATCTTTATCAACTGCATGATTTATTTGTACTATTTTTTTATCTAATAATTAATCTGATAAAGTTGTTTTTGATGATAGATCATATATGTTGTGCCTTAGATCGATTCTTGCCTCAGATAATAACCAAGGCACCTCAAATGTTGATCGTCATATGAGGTGCGTAATCTATAGATCAGTCATTTGAGGTACCTCAGTTGTTATCTAAGGCAGAGACTGGACTATCAACTCGTAACTCGAATAATTCGAAATTTTTAACTCGTGATTACTTGTGAGTTAATTAATTTATAATGAAGTTTAAAATAACTAATACATTGAATTAATAAATTTTGCAATACTGCATAAATAATATGTAATTAATTAACATACAAATAAATTACATACGTAATATAAAAATAAAGAAATTTAAGAGATTTTAAAACAATTCCATCCAAACATGACGTAAAAAAAAGCGCTAATGAACGAGAGGAATTCTGTAATGAAGAAAGTAGTCAAAACATATGAATTTGCTATACAATATCTCCAATTGAATAATTTTCTTTCATAACTTGTAATTTGTGATAATTCTTTGTCATGTAACTTAAATTATACTATATTTGCTTTGCGTAAGTCACTATTCAAAATATATTGATTAACGAATAATTAATATGCTAATTGCTTTCATAAAATTTCACAGGTTTAGAAAGTTTTAAACTCTCTAGTTTCTGAGTAATTTCTGAGTTAAAGACAGTTTTAAAATTGGAAGATTTTCTAGCAAAAAAAAACCTTTTTCAGAACTTGTAATTTGTAATAATTGCTTTTATAACGTAATTTTAATTATATCTGCTTTGTATAACTCTCTATTTAAAATTTATTTGCTTTTGTAACTCAATTTACAAACTTTCAATAAACTTATTGTCATTATTCAATTAATCGAATAAAACTCAAATAAATAATTTGATCAAATGATTCGAACTAGGGCAAAAAATACCTAATTTACTGTGCTGATGCCCATTGTTTAAAATATCTTTTTTGATATATCCAATTTAAAAGTGTATGTATCTAATTGTTACAATAATTGCTATATTAGTTTTTTTTTTAGCTAATCGGACTTGGTATATGTGAATCAAAAATGATACCTTTTGAGTGGCCGGCAACTAAGTAGGTATTTTTTGCCCTGATTCGAATACTCTTCAGTGTTTAATTCACAAGTCACGAGTTAATACAAGTCCAGGTTCTAATCTTAGGCAAGATCTATATACAGTAGCAAAAAATAATTTGTTTGTAATACTTATCGGGAAAATCAGGTGATATTATATAATGTAATTACTATATTTGTATTAGTAATTGCATAATTAATATAATTGCATAATTAAATATCAATATCAGCATAGTAAAATAAAAGAGAAAGAGAAATTATAAATAAATTGATTTTTTTTTTTTTACGTTAAAAAGCGATTTAAAAATACATTTTTACTGTGCTATTACGGTTAATTAGTTTAGTATCATATATTTTAAGTAAATTACTTGCATCATGACAAAAATTTCTTAACCTTTTATCTTGTAACAAAGCTTCTTGAATTTTTATTCAACGTGATCACACTTTATTCATTCTTATTCAACGTGATTCCACTTTATTTTAGATTCTAAATTTTTTTTAAAAAAATGGAATATAATTTCATAAATCGAAGTACTCTTGACCAAATTCTTCAAAATTATATAGATAATCTTCCAGCACCAAAACGCAGAAAGGCTTTAATTAACTGTGAATTATTGGATAAAATAAAGATCATTTTACTAGATCCAAAAAATACCTCACTTTATGATAAAAATACTCGAATCTGGGCAAAAAAACAATTTCATCTAGAGAAAATTGTTTCTGGTGACTATCAGATTATTGTAAAAGCCAGCAATAACCCAGTACTAATTACCGAAAATATGTATGAAATTTTTTGCCAAGTTCATGGACAAATCACGCAGCATGGCGGTCAAAAGCAGACATGGAAGTCTTTGAGAGAAAGGTGGGGCTGGGTCAAGCAAGATATCATTGAGCAATTTGTAAATCATTGCACCATATGTGCCATAAGGAAGCCATCATTTCACCCCTTAGTTGCAAAGCTGATCATCGTGAGAAATTTTTTATTACGAATTCAAGTAATTTGAATTTTTTATTTATCCTTTTTTTTTTTTTTTTTTTTTTTTTTTTTAAGATTAAAATTATTTTTTAGATTGATCTAATCAACATGACTTTTGCCTCGGATGGAGATTTTAAATATATATGTCATGTTTGGAATCACTTTACACGGTTTTCGTAGGCAAGGGCTCTTACTTCTAAGAGAGCAGTTAAAGTCGCAGCCTATTTATTCGACCTTTTCAATCTGATAGGATCTCCTCCCATAATAATGCAGTCAGATAATGGGAAGGAATTTTGTGTGGATATAATTAAAGAATTAATCGGATTGTGGCCCTCAGTAAAAATAATAAATGGGCGTCCTAGACACCTCTAGTCACAGGAGCTTGTAGAACGTGCCAATGGAATACTTGAGCAAAAGTTGAGAAAGTAGAAAGAGGCAACTGGCCATGATGATTGGTCATTTGGTTTACGATTAGTTATTACGGCTATGAATAATTCCTGGTGCCGTTCACACAAAAAGACTCTCTATGAACTTGTTTACGATAACAAGCCCTATAGTAATTGCATGTTAGTTAGTGATCTGTTTGAAAGAAACATTCACGATGAGGAAGAAATTCCAGATACCATCGACATTCAAAACGGTTCAGATTTGGATAATAACATGAGTGATAAACTTTTAATACAGTAATTTGCATGTATCTTTTTTATTTTTATCTGTTTTAATAGTTCATTTTTTCAGACCATTACCCTGAGATTCCATATCAAGAATTGAATGACACAGGTAGATTTATGATTCTTTCGTTTTATTTATTAATTTATATTTACTGAATGATTTTGATTTTATTTTGCTAACTTATCTATAATTCTTAGACAGAAACTCTGATTCTTTAGATGATGAAAATCACACACCTTTATCCCGTCTATTGTATAGTGAAGATAGTGTTTTAAGTAAATTATTCGATATGCTTCAACTGGATAGTAGTAACAACAATTTGAGTAAATTATAATACTATTATTATTGTTAATTTATGGTTAAAAGTCTAGATCCTTTATACTAACAATTAAATTATTAGATAATGACTCGGACAAATGATCAAATAATAGTAAAGGCATTTTAAGTAAATTTTATTTGCTTTTTTTTTTTTTTTTAATACTAATATTTCATTTTCTTTTATTCTTAGAAGAAACTTCTGAGCATTCATATATAGAGCTGGATAATAGCAATAGCACTAGCATTTTAAGTACATATAAGTTTTATTTCTTATTTATTTAACATTTTTTTTCAATGCTAATATTTTCTTATATTATTAGACAGACTTTTATATGTGGAGTTGGATAATGATGGTGGCACCTCAGGCAAGTTTACATTTATCGTTGCATTTTTTTATTTACTTATATTACATTTTTATTTTTAAATAAAAGTTCAGAATCTTTACATTGGCAAATAGGTGACGACAATTGTGTTATAGATAACGACGATTGTGTTTCGATAATGGTGAAAGCATTTTAAGCAAGTTTGCATTGATTATATCTATTATGATTTTTTTTTTAACATACATTTTTATTTCAGATGGAAAAATGAAAAATTCGGACCCTTCACGAAATCAATTAGGCAAGTTCACTTTATTTATTTATTTATTTTATATATTTTTTTTGTTGAATTTATGTAGAGTTATATCAACAATCAGGAAAGAATTCAGTTCTTGTTGATATTACAAACAAGAATTTAAATACCACGCATGAAATCTTGCAAATGGCAGCGTGACGAGATCTCCAGCTTTACACAGAAAAGATGACAAACCAGATGCTTAAAAAAAGAAAAGTCATTGATTTCCATGTTGGCGATCTTATTCGAATAAATATCCCGAAGATTGATCGGTTCAGCACTGATAGACCTATACTCCCTTGCAAGATTGTGGACATCATCAGTAAATTTTTTAGAGTGATTAGTATCGATTATAATCTAAAGATATTAATCGATTAGCAACACCACTGTCGTAAGTAATCGATATAGATTAGAAATCGATAATAATCATATATACGATAAAAATCGATATAGATAAAAATCAATAGTTATCATTTATATGATAGTTATCAATAAAAATTGATATAGATAGAAATTGATAGTTATCATTTGTGATAAAAATCGATCAGATAAAAATCAATAATTATTATTTATGATAAGAATCAATTTAGATAAAAATCGATAGTAATTATTTATTAGGAAATTTTTTAAGCTGATAGGTTACGATTACCAACAATTAATTGATTATTATCAATTAAATTTAATCGATAATAATCAATTAATTGTTGGTAATCATAATCTATCAGCTTAAAAACTTTTCTGATGTTGTTTTTAAGAGCCAGTCCAAGCATACAAGTCATTGCAGCTCTAATAAATAAGCAATATTTTTCAAGAATATATCTTTTTAGTACTGTACAATATTGGGTATTGGATAAGGTATAGTACAAAAAAGTGGCCATATCTAGATAAATTTTTTTAAGCAAGATACACAAAAAAAATTATAATTACTGTACCAAGATTTTTTTTGATGTTAGGTACACAAAAAAATAAAACTTAATAAAAAAAGTTTACTGTACCCAAATTTAATATTAACAATTTGGGTACAGTATAAAAAAATTATAAAAAAAATAGATAATTAAAAAAAATATATACTGTATTCAGGATAATATATATACTTTTAGGTATGATACAAAAAAGATTTGTAATAAATTATAAATTAAAAGAATTAGAGTTAATAATTTTACTATATTAATCTCACTTGAGCTTCTAATAAAAGTTGTAAAGAATGTTATTACAATTCTTATAGTAGTAAAAGCATTAAAATCAGCCTAGTAAATTATGAAATATGTGCAAAAAAAGCTTTATTATTTAAGAATTATAAATCTTCTTTATGATTTACTGGGTTGATTTTGATAATTTTACTATCATTAGAATTATAATAATATTTTTTATAATATTTTTATTAGAAGACCTAGTAAGATTAATATAATAAAATAATTAGCTATAAATGAAAAACTATTTAAATTGCTTATAATTCTACTTATAATTCTATTAGTTAATTTTAAGTAAGAATGTTATATGATTTTTTAAAATTGCAAAATCTCTTTCAATTGGTCTTGTATTTTTATATAAAGCAACTTTGATTTAGATTTCTGTTTAAAATAATATGAAAATAGCCTATACCAGTAGAGAGAAGGATATAAAAAAATACAAATAATAAAAATATTGTAATTTTATTAGCTATAAAAAATATAAAAATATAAAAAATTAATCCTACATTTTGATTTGTTAACATTATGTTGTTTTTATATAAAATTTTAAAAAATAAAGAGGTTAGTCTGGCCTAATATAAATATGAGTCATATAATAGATAACTTTGATTCAAGTAATTATTTTTAATATGATATAATTAGATATTTATATAAAATTATATATATATATTTTTTTTAACTATTGGCAGCTTCAATAATATCATTATTAGATTAAAGCATATATATATATATATATTTAACTATCTAAACTACAGATCTGACATTCTTTGGCTACTCTATTGAGCACCCAGAAATAGTCTGCTTATGGGATAAGGTATTTTGCCTACACCAGAAGGCTGCCCAAGCTAGCCTATGAAGCTATACCAAAATAGCTTCATTTTATTTTTAATAAAATTTTTAATAGCTTCAAACCAAGTACTTTATTTTTTTATTTTCTCCTCTTTGCTTTCATTGTTATCTTTTTTTAACTTTCCTCTTGGTTTGATTTTAACTATTTCCTTCTACCAAAATCAATTCTTTCTCTTTAATGCTAGAATTTAGCTTCTTTGAACTAGGGCTTTTTCTTTCTTTTCTTTTAGATCTATTCCTTTCTTTTTTCTCAATCATTTATATACGCACATATTGGTTTCCAAATATTTTTAAAGAAATAATTTCAAGCTGAATTGATTGCTATATCTAAGTAGCTTTTAAATTCTTTCAGACTTCATACCATTTCAAAAATTCTTTTCACGATCTCTTCTTTAATCAAACCTTTAAGTAAACCAGCTCTGGTTTTATTTTTTTCTTCTTCTGATAAATCTCACAAAGGCTTTCTGAGTTGTACTTTGTCAAAGTGGCTGCAAGTTTCTTCTAATAGAGCTGTTTAGGCCAAGTTCAAGGCTAGTTGCTCTGCATTTTTTCATTTTATTTTGTATTTCTTATATGTCATCAAGTGTTTTTAGTCTTCATTTTCATCTTTTTCACATATTATACATGTTGAGCTATTGTATAACTCTGTTTTCTGGCTAATAATATTTTCAGTACTAATAGTTTCTTATGCAATTATTTGACTACCACACCTAGATGCTTATTTTTCCTTAAACTTATATATTATATACCACTCTAATTTCTAATTTTTTCTATAAAATGGGCTAATATTGGGTTCTGGGTTCTATTTTTTTTACTGCTGAAGAAGATTTCTATTCTACTCCTATTTTGAGATCAAGTATCATTCATAAGAATTCTTTTATAGGGTCTTCTACTACTGTCTTTTCTCAGTATAAAGTGACATTTGATTTCTAAGGGTGTTTTTCTATAATTTTATCTTTAACTTCTATTCTAGATTCTAATTTAGCTAATTTATCTGCTCTATTATTTCAACTATTATTATTATAACCTTTATTCTAGTCATAATTCTTTTATTTTTATTATATCTAAAATGAATTTTATTAAATTGTAATTCCTTCTTTAAACTATTGTCTTACTAACCTATTTTGTTTTTTTCTTTTGACCTTAGTTATAGCTACTGTACTATCTGTGCAAATTTTGACCTTCCTTTTGCTAGGCATGATAAGCAATACACATCAGATTTCAAGTAATTCTGCTTTTGTTAAGGACAGTTAATTTCTTGCTCCAAAATACCCTTTATTAATTACTTCTTTCTTTTCTTCATCTACTAGCATCCAACTTGCTTCTATTCTGTCTAATTCTGATTGAAATTATCATCTGCTATTTCTTAAAGATCTATTAGTATAAAACTTGAACTGTGCTGGAAGCATTCTTGTTATTTTCTATTCTTTTCACTAGTTGAAAACTATGAATTCGAACTGGTCGAATTACAATAACATTCGGCAACAAATCGACTGAATTTTTTAAAATTCGGTAGCTTCAACATTAATTCAACCTAATTTAGTCAAAAATTCAACAGCTGAATTTTAATAAAATTCATCTATGCCGATTTCTTCAATAATTTAATCTAATTTAGTCAAAATTCAACAACTGAATTTTAATAAAATTCGACTATATCGATTTCTTCAATCATTTGACCTAATTTAGTCAAAAATTCAACAACTGAATTTTAATAAAATTCGACTATGTCGATTTTTTCAATAATTCAACCTAAATTAGGCAAAAGATTTGAAAGCTGAATTTTAATCAAATTCAACTATGTTATTTTTTCAATAATTTGATCTAATTTAGTCAAAATTTCGTTATCTGATTTTTAATCAAATTCAACTATGCCGATTTTTTTAATAATTCGACCTAAATTTAGTCAAAAATTTGGAAATTGAATTGATTTAAATTTTAAAATCAAAATTTTGTCATATCATTTTTATATAAAAAATAGACTATATTTGACTACATAATCAGCTTCATTATAAAATTTATGCTGTATTCTACTTTATAATAGTATTAATTAAAGCGTGTTGTTGACATTAGAAAAGAAGCTATTTGAAGTACAACTTCACAACTATCGATCCAATCAAGATGAAACTATAACCATTAGAATCAGCTCGTCGAGACGAACCTAAAGATCATATGTATCACAATCTGATTGGCTGATGATCAACTGCGTGAAATGTTATATATATAATATATCTATTCTCTATCATTTTTATACCACATATATTATTTATTGTTGCGGCTGAAGCTGGAAACGGCTGAAGCTGGAAATTTTAAATATTTTATTATGAAATTTTCAAAATT